AGAAGATAGGGGTCATCAAACCTTGATGGCCAAAAACAGACGTTCCTTTTTGCTGTTCTTATTACTTTGAGCCATTACTGCGGGTTTCGTGCATAAGCGAACACAAACAGGCACATACACACTGACAAGCATCAAAGTTGACATATGACCTTGACTAACCAAATCACTTTATACTTGATCAAAGAGGCCAGATGTCGCGTATATTTACCACTTTTCTTGACTTGTTAGTTTTAATTTTGTTGTGACGATGATACCTCGCTCAGATGATGTTCGTCATATAACGGACGACAGCTTAGCACCTTTTCACCCGAATCGAAGGAGATTAACTCGAAAACAGCGTCAGCATGAATCTTCCAGGAAAGCTAATTGACAGCTGGTCAAGAGGAATCCCCATCGTCTTCTGGTGCAACCGAACCTTCGAATTTCTTGACTCAACACTTTCGCTCGAAATGGAAGTAGGATTGAAGCCTTCGGGTTTTGGGTGAATTATCGTTAAACATAGTGTCCTGCTATGACGATGCCGGTCACATGACGGATGAAAGCTCAGCAAGGATTGATCGGGGTCGCAGAGCGGTTCGCTGAGGACCTATTCGCACAAATCTAGAACCAAAGCTCCAAGGCGACCCTTCCACAGGCCTAGGTGAAACCAACTTACGAATCCCTTCCACTCGCCTCTTCAAACGAAATGAAAGGTACTCCAACATGAGGTAGTGACGTCTTCACGACACTCACGACCCGGTTACAAATCTCGCTGTGAGTACTGATGAGCCCACTCGAGGTCGAAACTACAGTTGAGCCTGGATGATATTACCTTAGGCGACCTAGGGTGACTACATTCTTATTCAAGAAATACTAAGACTCTCAAACTCTTCTCACATCAAAATTGTCTACTTGTCCTACAAACTTGGTATCCAAGATATTTAGCTTGTTATGTCAGCCTTAGGCTCAAGGAAATTAAATGTTCTGTCCATTTTTATTCCACCTATTGTTCCATCTTATTCTTCATCATCAACCCGAATTTGCCCCGAAAGAACGCAGCTATCTCTATGCAGCATAAAATGCTGAGCGAAGACACCCACGACACTGTTGAAACAGATCACCTTGAACCGGTCGACAGTACGAATCTGCTTGCAGATCCAGGCACGCCTCCCCCACTACCATCATTGGCTCATCGAACTTCAAGGGTGCATCCACCACCTCCGAACGTGCCCTCTGGAGTTGGTTTCTCGACAAGCCAACAAAGTAAGATCCTGTCTACTGTATCTAGTTAGACTCATTGACATTCAAGAATCGCATGCGATAACATTGCTGTGAAGACTTTCATTTAGTGTGTAGGTGCTTGACGAAGAGATGTGTAAGCAACATGCTAACACACACGCACATACAATTGAATATAAAAGAACTAGCCAGATCATTCTATATCCATCTGTCTGCATATTTTTTCGTTATGAGTTTATAT